ATGTTGCCTACAAAGGACAAGAAGTCCCTGTCAAAATAGAACCTGTCCTTAGTGACTCTTCAAAATGTATGGAAGACACTTTGAAGCTACAGATAGTCAATGAGATTGTTCAGCGCAACGCCTGCAACATCAGGACCAGGAGACGTGAGGATGACCCAGTCAGTGTAGGCTCGGTTCTGATGTTCGTTCACAGGGTCACCTTGAGTCCAGCTGATTCCGTGACACCCACAACAACAGAAGATGCAATGATCTAAACATTCCAGAGTATTCCATTTGCTTCTAACAGGTGCCCAGATGCAGGCTAATGCAATGCTCTTTGGTCCTGAACTCTTCTCATAACCATTCCTAGATCTGGTCTCAGTGTCACAGCCATGGTTTTAGTCCTTTCTGTCGAGGTGCTTCCTCTGTTTTGGGGAGCCTCTCTTTCACCAGCTTGCTGTCTTCTCTAGACACTGACCTCTCCCCGTACGTGAGATGATGTCTCACCGTCCTCATTCAACGTGATGACACGGAGCTAGTGGTAGGCGTACAAGAAGGTGTGGTGTCCATGGCATACTGAGAGCGAAAATAAACAAGGATGTGGTTTGCAGAGTCTTTAAAGTGGGTTAAGCGCGTGGGCCAAGTGTGTTTTCCACCAGTGTAAGGATATCTAAGCATTTTTGTCCCTGTTGTTAGCTGCATAGAAGGAATGAGATCAACCAAATCTCTGAGAACAGACCTTGACTGAGAGCAGAGGCTGATTGTGGCGGTCAACTGGCAAACACCCGGATGCACCATCAGTTACAGAGGCGCTCTGATGATGCATCCGAGTGTTTGCCATTGCTTTCCCTGCCCTGGGAATGCTTTCCTGAGTGCTGGTCTGTTTTCCGGTTGAGATTTGTTTTGTGTGTTTGGCTGTGTTGCCTCTGTCGCCTGTGCCTCCAGCGTCAGCAGTGTTGCCGGTCTCCCCCGACCTGTGTGAGCCTCCTTTCTCTGGGACCCTCAGGGATCGTTCAGAAGATGAACGTGCGGAGGGTTGTACAAACCTTCTTTGTCTGGGGGGACTGTGAGAAAGCAGCAAGTTGTCCAAGCTTACCTCACCCCTTGTTGCAGAAAATGACCTGAAATCTCAATACTTTAAATAAGTTAGTGAAAGTATGGATTCTGCTTAGGGATGCTTTAGCTTATCCATTTATAAAAATATTTTAGCTTAGTCATTTATAAAAATATTTTTAGAGACATCTTGGAGCAATCTTATCCGATCCCCAGTCACTTTCGTCCAGGACTATCACATGCCTCCCCTCACCAGCACGCTGTGACAATATTTTAAGAAGCCTGGTTTGTTCCTGAGATGGCCGAAAGGTATTTACCCCCTTATTTATTTTTTTTAATTGAGTTTTTTTTCTGTATATTGAATGATTTATTTATTCCAAATACTTTTTTCTTACAAATATTGAATACATTATTTTATTTTTTCCCTTTAAAAAATAATTTTAATGAGCATTTACAGAGATTTTGGATTTCCATTCATTCATTGATGCACTTAATTGAGATTTTAAAGAAAGCAATTTTAAGAAAAAATTTTTATTTTATTATTTTTTTGTGTGTGTACCTTCAAATTAGATCTGACTGGTACAGGAGGAGATTGTCCCTCCTTCTCCAGCAGAGCATCTGGTGGATTCGAACCACGCACCTGTGGGATTGC